GTCTGAAATCATCCAAATGATTCTAGTGAAGGTGCATAATAGAATGAAAACACAGTGGAGCACTTCCTGTATTACCACGTGACATCACATTTAAAGTTATCATGTTTAATAGAAGAACTCAGCCTGTTTTACAATCCAGACCTCAAAAATTCAAGTTGAACACTTTCTCTCTTTTTGTTCATGTACAACCAGAGGCAAAACCAGTAAAAATGGAATATCCAAATATATAAGAGTGCTGAAAAATCACATTTAAATCTGGAGTCATCCCCAAACTACAGAATTACTACAATACAATAACAATACATAACAACTGTTCCATGAGTCACAGATTTCTGCAGATCTGTGGAGATTCTGCTGAGTCGACACAGACAGGTGGCACCTGACACCCACAACATACATAGATACTGTCTTTCCAAAGGAAATTCAAGAATTCCAAAATGTCAAAGAAAACAAATGAGATGGAGATGTCTGTGTCTGCTACGCTAACGCTAACACCATAATAAATATTATCTATATTATATATACATACATATTATATATATATTATAATAATAATGCTCCAAACTGATGCAATCTACATATAAACTATCAAATAGTCTTTATTTTACTTAACAGATTACAGAGTAGATACTTTAATAGATTGTTTATTTCATATTTTATTCTTTTAATAAACATTAGCATTAGTTTTGAGACACGGTGAGTTAGCTAGCATGCTGCTGCACAGAGTCGATCATCTCATCATAATTTCTCCAGTGAACACTTGTTGGCCTACAACAAGCTCAGAGTAGAGCTGCTGCTCCTTAACCAGAGGAGCGGCTGAGGAGGCTCGGGCACCTGGTGCTGGTGTTGGGAGATGTTCTGGACACGTCCCACAGGAGGAGGCCCCGGGGAGACCCAGGACACCCTGGAGGGACTGTGACTCTTTTACCCCTGGAGGAGCTGGGGAAGTGTCTGGGGTGAGGGAAGTCTGGGTAACACTATGATAATAACAACACTTAACTCATAATGAACACATGGTTTATTAAGAAGAATTCAGGTTTAGTCATTTAGTCGTTTATCATTTATTTATCATTTATATTTGTGCTTTTTGTTTTATATTGTGATGTGTGAGATTCTGTGTCCAAATCATTTCACTTGTGGATCAATAAAGTCAAACGAATTCATTACTTAATTAAAACCCAAACCCTTAGTCCAAACCTGAACCCCTGACACAAAGTTATTAATCCTGAATCTTCTCAATAAACGATTTGCTCATTATGAATGAAGTCTTTGTTCAGGTTTTATTAAGGCTAATAAAAGTGATGATTATAAAGTGGTACCAGAGTCTAAACATGCCTGATCAGACTTCTGTTCTCTCCTCGTCCTCAGCTGAAGCAGAAGAAAATGGATACAAGCTTCATAACCAGGGCAGACACTAGGACTGATGTCGAGAGGGTTTCTCCACTTTGGCGTACAGACTCTCTACAGTCTGGTCTGGAGCAGCAGGAGCAGGAGCAGCAGCAGGAGCAGCAGCAGGAGCAGCAGCAGCAGCAGCAGCAGCAGGAGCAGCAGGAGCAGCAGCAGGAGCAGCAGCAGGAGCAGGAGCAGTGTGGGGTCCCACCAAACTGTACATGGAGGACGGACAATCCTCTGAAGAGATGCGTGTGCTCGGATCAGGCGGCTCAGCCTACGACAGAAAAAAGTTATAGTAGTTTGAGTAGGTTTTGAAGAAAGGATTATCACAAACAATGAAACATGTTATCCTTTTTCATAAAACTATAAAAAGTACAAATTAAACCTCACCTCAGCATAAATCGTATTTTCTGCCACATGTTTATTGTTCGACCTGACAAATAAATTCAGTAACATTTTAAGTACTGTTACATCATGTCATTAGAATCTGTAGGTAAAATCTGAATCACTTACTGTGTTGTTTTTTTGCAATACAGTACAATGGCTACAAATATAAACAGCGCTCCAATCACAACACAAATAAGTGCAATTATCCAGTCTGGTACAGGTTGAGGTTTGGGATCTGTAGAGAAAAGAGCACATGACATGGATCAGTCAGAACATCAGGTATCATTCAGTTACATTAGTGATATAAAACAGGACTGTAGCCATGGGATGGTAAAGACATTATGTTCATTACTCTGTTAAAGGGCCCATATTACACCTTTATTTCTTATCTACCTTTATAATGTAGTTTCCTCAACAAAACAGACCTGGAGTTATGTTTTGTTTCATTTACATGTTTAACACACAAACCCTGCAGATTCACACTGAGTTCTTCTCTCAAACAGAAACTTGCCAGTCTCTACTGAACTAAAGGTCAAAGGTAACTGTTAACTTGAACATTACCACTTCATGACATCACAGGGTCATGGGAGATGTAGACAGACTAATAAAGAAGAAAAAAAAAACTGTTAAAGAAACATGTGTGAGTGAAAACAAAACATAACTCCAGGCAGGGACGGACCAGTAATCTGTGTGTTCTGGAAAAGTCCAGAGCGACTGTCCGATCTAGAGATTGTTGGCTGTACTAACAGCAGAGGGCGCTAATATAATAATTTGCCCATTTGTCAAGCATAAACTGCACAGGCTTAAAAGGCGACAAAGAAGAGTGGGTCACTCAGTGGTTTCAACACATTCAAAGACGTAGAACAGAAAATGTAAGGAGAAAGGAGGATGAGAAAAAGTTAAAGACAAAAAAGCAAAGTCACTTTGAAATAAAACAGCAAAATGCAAAAAGCTTACAGAGCTTTCTGCCAGCAGCAGAGCGACTGCCAGCAGCAGCAGTAATGTCAGAGATGATGATGATGAAGGAGTTAGTGGAAATGCACTGGAGGAAGAGGAGGTACCTGTAAGTAAGAAGGACATAAAAGAGCAGGTTATGTTTAGGCTTGACCCCCTCTCACTGTCAGATTCTGTTAACTGGACTTCACGCTCAATGATGAGAAATATTGTGTGGCTTATTGCTGTTAAAACTGAACTACCAAACTAAAAAAAAAATCATAAACATAAAAATCTATAAATCTATAAATAAGCAAGCACACAAAATGCTCATGTTTTTTCCCTTGTGTGCAGCAACAATATTTATTATTATTATTATTTCTGCGTCTAACCCAGCAAAAGTGCAGCACAGCCTAATGCAGACTCTTACACAAACTCACCAGCCTATTATATGTGATGGGATCTAGGAAAAACCTACACATAGAGGAATTTAACATTTTTGAGATCTTGATACCACATGAAATCATATTTCAAGCTGATTCCTGTTTTCTTCAATTATTTCATTATTGATTTATTGAAATTATTCATTGTTATTTATTTTATTAATTAATAATGAATCAGGGTTGGCCTATTTGTGGGGAAAAAGTCCAGGGCTGTTTTTTGGTCCCAGGTATGTTTTTGATTAGATAACAACATTATAACATGACCACAAACTCACAAGAGTCAAGTTTGTGTAATACTGGACCATTAAGAGAAAAGCTCAGTGTGCACCAACCCACCGTCTACCACCTCTCAGAGGTTTGTACTGTCGCTCTGTGTCTTGTCTCATTCAACATAAATCCAAACACATTTCCTGCACTCTTTAGAAGACTATAAAGTGCACTCATTCACAGACAGATTTAGACATGCTGCCTGAGGTGAAAAAAAATCAGCTTAACTCCAAGAAAACTGCATTTCTGTAAAAAAAATATCCAATTCGACTGTGACACAAGTATTTATCAACTAATAATCACACAAGTTTTTGTCAAGCTGGATCTCATGTGAACGGACTGGATTATTCAGCTTTTGTCTGAGATGTGAAAAATGTCAGATGTGCTTGTCTTATATTGAGCTGTTAACCTGTTCCCACCTACATCATTTTGGCATGTGCACAATAGTAATACATACCCAAATGTCATAGCTTATAAAAAAAAAAAAAAAACCTTAGAACCTACATGCTTGTGTGATGCATCATTTTAAAGTTTAGGCCTTCTAGTTTCTGTAGATATGCATATGAAGACTGTGAGTGCTGCCTAACCTACAGTACAGTCAATTAAAAATGTCTAAACATTGTATTTTTTTGCTTCGGAAAAAAATTTGAATAAAATAAAGGCTCTAGCTTGGGCATACTTCATACTAGGCGTTTGTTACTCACTACACTCACTGTTCAAGTTGTTGGCAACAACTGTGTAGAATTTGTTGGCAACAACTGTGTAGATCTCTTGGACTAAGGGTTTTGATGCTGTGAGCCTTTGTGTATACAAAATGGCAATTCGGCACAAGAGTGCCAAATTTGCGCCAAAAATAAATAAATAATAATATAATAATAATAATAATTATTATTATTATTATTATAGTAGTAGTAGTAGTAGTAGTCTATTTATTATTATTATTATTATTATTATTATTATTATTATTATTATTATTATTAGCTTTAGGCATGTTTTCTCAAGAAAAAAAATAAAACTAAAAGAAGCCAAAATTGTCTTCTCTGTATCTCTCTGCTGTGCATGTAAACACAGCGCCTGTATTAGAGACTGTCTGCATGTCCCACCCACCGTTGGAAAGCTCTGGTGATAGGCTGAAACAATATGTCAATCACTTTCTGGACGAACCAATGACTGAAGAGGATTCCCGCAAACAAAATGATGACGCGTGCGTAAAACCAGGAAGTAGATAGGTGCGCGTCGGTTCAGCGGCTTGTCCCAGCTACACCAAACCTCGGACAACTCCCAGGATGGTCTCATTTTGAAGACAAGAGTGTGAGGAAAACAAGCGTACACAAAGGGGCCAAGAGAAGCGAAAGTCAGACGAGGGAGAAGGCTCGAAAACAAAACATTCATCTATTTTTACAGACGTGGTTTTTCTGGATTATTTACCCACATGGAATTATTTTATGGAAAAAACAACTTGATATTCTTTTTCTGTGGATTGTTGCGGATTTATTGAGTACAATTTATCCTGGATTGAACGCGTTTTGGACCGACAGAACCGGCTCAAAGGTAAGAAACGCGTATCTCCTTTTTTGATTATGATGTGGATTTTTAAGTTATCGCGTTTTGGGCTCGTTGTGCAGCATAAAATAAATGATATGGTTGTTTTATTGAGAAATTAAGCTTTCAAAAGATGTATGGCAAGGCAGTAGTGAAAACAATAATGAAGGTGAAAATACTGCTCTTTTGTTGCAAAATCGCCCTCCCGCGGGCGGGTGGGTGGTAAGACCAACAATAAAAATGTAATGCTTGCATCTTTCCACCATAACAATTTATTTAATACTGTTTTATTCATTAAACCAGAGCTTCTATCTGCTTCATTCAGTCGTGTTGTGTCCAGTTAAACACCTGTTTCTGTGCGCTGTTGTTTTTCTGACTCTCCCAGTGCATTGTGGTCTATATTGACCTGTGTAGTGACCAGTGCTGGACACTACTTTTCAAGGTGCATTGTGGGAAATTTTGAGTGCACTACTTTTTCACCTGCTGGACATTCGGACAACACTGAAAACAACGTGACCCCTGAATAGTGTTCTGAGTAGGGAATAGTGTGGACACATTCAGACAGAACTGTGTCCTTTGAGGGATGATGATGTTCTCCAGATAAAACAGACTGCCCACAGCGCCCCCTACTGCTGGCTTCATACAACAGGTGGATAGGTGTGCACTGAGCTTAAGCTGCTGTTTCTTTTGAATGTTCAAACCTCCACAAAATGGCATCAATGAAAGAGAAAAAAAAAAGAAACCCGTGAATAAAAACAGAAATGGCTCATTACCAGGCTTTGGACACACTGACTGTATGGCTCTGGTGTCATTGGTCCAGCTCACGTGGTTGCTATGGTTACAGATGATTGACTGGTCAGACAGGTAAAGGTGCAGAGAAGAGGCGTGTCCAGAGGGGGAGGTGTGTCCAGGTGTTTGTGGTGTTTGCTCCTCACATCTGGAGTTGTGTGTGTCACAGGTGAAAGAGCGGCTGATGTTGTAGAGTTCAGTTGTGCAGCTCACAGTGAAGTTACACGACTCTGAGCTGTTGGACACAGAGGACACACTCAGCTCCACTGGAGACACTGGGTCTGTGGAAACAACATGGAACCAGTCACATTTACATAAACATAATTGTGATTATTTTAGATGTGTGTTTGTACTCACCTTCAACTGTGACCTCAAATGTGGCGATTGTTTCTTCTTTAGCATCTCCAGACACCACAGCTGAGTAGGTCCCAGTGTCTCTGAGTTGGACATTTTTCAGAATCAGAGACAGATTCTGAGGGAAGAACTCCACTCTGTCTTCTGTACTTAGAACCTGGGTGGGTTTGTCTCCAGTCAGTCTTACTATATTGTTGGTGGTATTGAATTTCCAATAAAATATATCTGATCCTATTTGACTCTCTGGGACATGCAAATGAAGATCGTGGTTGGTCTGTATGAATATTTGTTGTGAACTGGAACCTGAGAAAACAAGTGGAAAAAACAAGTGAAAGGTTTTTAAAAGAAAATATGAGATATTTTTCTAATTTTGCATATCAAATGGAAAGCAGAGACATTTTTCTAACTCTTTATTTTTCATATTTTAAGTTTAACATGTGGGGTGTGTCTTTGGTGCAGACACATGAATAGTTTCCTCTAGCAACTGCAAACAAAAAAGAATAATTAAAATAAAAACAAGCAAAGTCTTACAGTTGTGATAAACTCCACTGTTCCCATTTGTTCTTACATTTTTCTTGTTGCAGCCTGATACTAAAAGTGATTCTCTTCATCTTAAAGGTGCACTGTGTAACTTTTCTGGTAGAGGGCCGCCAGTTACTTGTCTCCATGGAGATGTTTTTGCTTTGTCTCTAATATTCCAAAGTACGGCATTAAACTGTTCAATCTCCATAGAAACAAGCAGGTCACCAGGTCAATTTACGTGTGAGATCTGTGAGGAGGCGACCCCACTCACAGTCAGAATACATGTTTTTAAAGGTATTTTTAGCAACAAAATCTCATATAAGTTTAATATCATACTGTGGAACATTACAGTCAAAGCCATAGCATCTCCATGGTAGCGGTACCCCAACCTGAAAAATTACACAGTGCATCTTTAAGTAAGAATTATAGAACCTGGAGCTGTGGGTTCTGCAGTCTGAACACACTGCTCCTCGATGTTTAAATGTCAGGTACAAAGTAAATATTCAGCGGAGTTGTAGACATTTATATTTGTTTTTAAACTGTAGACGCTCTTTCACATTTTAGACGTGTTTTTGAGCTTTTATGAAAGAAAAGGTCATTACTGCAACATTGACACTAATTCTGAAAATTCTGGCCCTCTGTATCAAACCACTCATGCACTGCTGGGATGTGTGGATTAAGACATTTCCAGTTATAGAAATGTTATTTATCTTTTCACCCATTATGTGTCATTCTCCAGTTTGAGTCAGAGCCACATTTGTGATGTATGTACACGCCCAGATCTTCTGCTCAAACACTTGACACTTTATACACCAACACATACATGAACTTTATGTAATATGCTATTTCTGTTATTATTATTATTATTTAATGTAAGTTAAATTTAAGCCTACACTGAAAGTATTTGGGGCTGGGCCACAATAGCTCAGTTGGCAGAGCATTTGTCCACTGATCCAAAAGTGGGTAGTTTGAATCCTGCTCTTGACATAAAAAAAACAAACAAAAAAAACATAATTGGGAAAGTGGTCAGATCCACTGATCCACAGGTTGACGGCGCAATTCTAGTCCCACAGATGAATGTTGTCAACTTCACTGATTTCTAACTTTAAAAAAAAATTGGGTAACAATTACTCAGTAAATTCATGACAGTTAATGGTGGTGGTAAGTACATTTGGGTCCGGTCAAGTGGTAACGGAGGGAAACGGGCAGATTTTTGACATTCAAATGTCTCTTATTCAGAAACTAGAGGGACTATTGAAATAAGTAAAGTATCAGAATGTAGGAAAGAGTTACACTCCAACAGGGTCAAGTTAAACCTGTGATATTCTTTCAAGTTGTTGACAAAAAATTTAAAAAAAACTCATGTTGGTAACAGAGGGAATGAAATATGCAGCACTTTTTGGGCAATAAATCCAAACAGTGATAACTCTTGGTTCTCACTTCCATATCCTTAACAAACTGGTTTGAATATTTGCTTCATATAGTTTTCTACCATATGGTACAAGATTAGGTTGAAAAACCTCTTACTTTTTGAGTCATGAGATTTTTTATGAAGAAAGGTCATGGTAACGGAGGGAAAAGTAACGGAGGGAAAATTGTTCAAGCAAGTAGAAGGTGCAGGATTTTGCATAATTTGTCACTTTTTTCTTCTGAAAACTTTAATATTACTTCAAAATGAAAGAAAACTATTTCTATAAAATATGTCAGTCCTTCCAAGCAAATTTTTATCATTTTAAATAATATTTTTTTGAAAAATCATGTACCTCCATCAACAGTTCAAAGATCGAATAATGATGAAATACATCCATTTATTTACATGATTAACTTTTCCTTAAGAACCAATATTTATATATATGAACTGCTTCTCAGCAGGGGTAAGAGCTATGATCAGTACTAAAAATGTGGCTGAAAATTTCTCAACAAAATGGGGCTAACCACACCACCACAGAATGCTAAATGACACTCACAGAATATCACACGGCTATACAGAGCTTGGCAGAGATGACAGGGAAGCCAACCCTGTCTCGGATGCCAACAAGAAGGAAAGAGAGAGATGTAGTGGCTTCAACACCTCACACCTGCACATGTTTAGCATGGCTACGAGATGACTAGTAAATTCCCAATGCTCGTCATGTCCATTCAAACACTGTCAAGGTAATATAATGAACCAAAACAACAAACTGCAAACTTGAAACATAAATGTATTCATGATATTAAACTATACTCGCCATTCATTTCAAAGACTTCACTCATATGTTTTTTAAAATCTGAGTTTATTCTCAAAATATTGTACGTTTTTACAGATCATGCTAAAAACAGAGACCACCTTAACCTAATACAAAACCATAATTACTTCCACTGAGTGTGGAGTGACTGAATAATGAACTGTAAAGCCCTTTGGGTATCTTGAAAGGCGCTATATAAATGCTATCAATCAATCAATCAATCAATTATGAAAACAACACACTATGTATGGAATAATTCAGGGAGAATGCAGTAGAAAGTGTTTACTATATGAACTGTTTTCTCTCCGTTACCTTTGCCAGTAACGGAGGGAAAAAATAGGATAATTAATAAAACAATATATAGAAACAGAATTCATTAGACTGCTGCAGGAAATGCTTAGTAGTATCAATATCCTTGCTTTTAGAAAGTTTCATGATGAAATATAAAGTTTAACACATGTAAAATAAAAAAAAAAACATAATTTTTCGGTAACAGAGGGAAAATTAACGGAGGGAAAATTACCATTTTTAGACTTGTAAAAAAACAGGTTTTACCAGATACTAACACTTAATAGTTTTCATTTTCATACGTATACTACCTAGAGATGTAGATTAGTCAAAGATGAAGCTTAAAAGTTAACCTGAAGAGGATTTGCAGGTCTTTGAAATTTGGGAAATAATTTTTGTTCAAGGCCTAAAAATTGCACGTGACATGATCTGTTTAAAACATATGTAACTTTAGAACCAAAAATGGTACAGAAAAAAGGTCAACAGTTTCATAAACTAGAGCACATATGTATCTGTTCAATACATTTTTATATCAGATGCATTAACTTGAATTTTTGGCCTGGCTTTTTACTTCTGCTTGACCAGGCCCATTTTATTTAATACTGACAAGTAAATTGTACCTGATATTACATCAGTCAAATGTACTTAAAAAGTGCTGGTGCAAATTGTTACGAGGATTTGTTCTACTGTAAGTATTTCTAAAAATAAACGTTAACTGATGGATCAAATGTTGAACTTTTTCTGATTAGTAAAATCATGAAAATAAAGCATGACTGACGCAAATTCTGCAAATGACTTAAATTGGGGAATGACAAGGAGAGACCCAGACCCACAGTAGTTCTAGTTGAAATGCTCTGTCCATATGGAACACAGGAACAACTTGAGGACAAAATATATGGCTGTAGTTTGCTTCCACTTCTCCACATTGCCTCCAACAGTTTATTGATTAGGTGAAATATTTTTCCTGGACTGGTGTTTTGAAAATCTTAACCAAATTCTTCCATATTATTAAGTTTTCAATTTTGTCTCACAGCAGATTTTCTATTCCTGCTCTTTTTCCATATTTATTTCACATGACAGTATATTCCCTTTTCTTTGTTGCAGCCCTCTGTACAGTGTTTGTCTTTTGTTTGTTTACCATTTTTTAAAATCCAGAGAAAATGTGATGTAATTTGTTTGGCTTTTTAGTTCAGTTGGGAGATTGTTCCACTCCTTTATAGCAATAAAATAATAATAATAATAATAATGCCTTGTACTTGTAACGCACTTTTCAGGCTTGTCAAAGCCTGAAAAGCTGCAAATGCCAATGCAAATGCTCTCCTGTTTTGAGTTTTGAAGATGTCAACAGAATAAAGCCCTTCACACAGGCTTCATTTTACCTGGGCTCCCCTGGTAAATTGTAATAATTACGAACATTCTAGTCCCAATTTTATACAACCTATATAACAGACTATATAACAGAAGATTTGTTTATAGTAAGCGTCTTTCAAAACTTTGTGTATCCACTGACTTCTGTTATAATCTCATTATTTGCGCCGCCCTCTCAAAATCCAGGTAAAAATAATTTTGACTTCTATTTCATTTCTCTGCAATAAACCAAACGCAATTCTAGGACAGTCACACTGAGCAAAACCAGAATTTTATATGTATAAATTGGCATCTAAAGGGTTGATTATTTATGGTAATGTATGGACTCAATGTGTCCCCTTCAGGGAAAAAATGTAAAAAATAATCTTCTTTTAAAAATATCAGCATTTGATGAATTTCAGGTTGATAAAACTGGCATTTTATTTGCAATTCCAATATTGTATTTTAAAGAGAACCACCAAAAAAAATAAATAAATAATAAAATAAATAAAATTAAATCAAATCAAATTCACAATTTTAGGGCAGTGTAAAGACCTAAATACACAGTTCATACAAAACACTCCCAAGTTAAAGGTGCATTAAGTCACTTTTTTGGTGGTGCTTGTCTCCATAGAGATGTTATTGCTTTGCCTGGAATGTTCCACAGTATATCATTAAATATATCAATCCTGCATTTACATTACAGATGTCTGAATCTTGAAAACCGTGCGTTGTCACTGTGTGAGGGGTGTTGTCTCGTAACTTGAACTCATGTCACTTGCTTCTTTACGTGGAGAAAACTCGGTTTAATGTCATATTGTAAAACATATTATGAAAAGACATAACATGGACACGCACCAAAAAAGAGTTTCAAAAAGTTTTTAAAGAGTGTTTGAAGGCTGTTTTCTCTAGTCAAACTGTGAACTAAGAAGCACACAAACATTTACACGTGGTGGATAAGCCTTTTGTATAATCCTGTCACAACTCTGACATCTGAACATGAAACTACTACATTCATATGAATAAATATTATTTAACTTACCTTTGGTTATAAGAGAGCAGAGAAAGAAACATAAACCAACAATGTGGCCTCCCATGATGAACTGAAGCACTGAGACGGTTATGAGGAAGTAGTGGGGAACAACTGTGGGCAAAAGTGTGACATCACAATGAAAAAAAAAAAAAAACACATGACACAAAAATAATGACTTTTTATTAAATTTGTGTAAAATTAAAAAGCTTAAGTCTTCCTATCATTAAAATGTACAAAAATACACATATTAAACTGGTCAGTCCTGTCTTTATCTTTATCAAACATACTTTACATAACACACACACACACACACACACACACACACACACACACACTGTAGTGTTAGTTACAAAAATGTATTTACAAACCAATGGAAATATGCACAAAATAATACTTAAAATAATTACTAAAAGTTATTTATTCATTCAAGTTAATTTCCATGTGAGACCAAACTAATATAATTGACAATAAGTTATAGTTTGAAATAAAGTACAGTGTAAAGGACTCATATGGTGTTAGACCAAAGTTATTAGTAAAAAGAAAAACAAAAAACTTTTGTTCAGATGATTGAACTTCCTCACATATACTTCTCCTTTAAGGCTCTCGCTGTGTGATGCAGTTTCGCCGTTTTCAGTATTCTGACAGTCTTCTGTCACAGCTGACTCATCTATAGAACAATTATAACATTAACAAAATAATAGATTTAACGTATCAACAAATTACAGTATTTAAGTCAAAAAAGAAAGATGAAGAAGTCCTGTGTAGGTTTAAGATTTCAAATAGCTTCTTTTTTTTTTTTTTTTTTTTATAAATAAGATAATGAACAGAACCGTTGATAACTGGGTTGGCCCTACAGAGATGAGGTCCTGAAACTCAACAAGTGGTGTGAAACTGACAACTTGGTACTGAACATCACCAAGACTAAGGAACTCATCCTGGACTTTCGGCAGAACAGAGCCACCCCTGCCCCCTGTACATCAACGGCCAAAGTGTGGAGCGAGTGGAGACCTTCAAATTCCTTGGGGTTCACATCTCTGCAGATCTCTCCTGGTCAGTCAACACCTCAGCACTGGTCAAAAAAGGCCCAGCAGCGGCTACACTTCCTGAGGTGTTCAGGAAGGAGCAACTAAACACAAGCTGCTGGTGACCTTCTATTGTTCCACTATTGGTCACCTGCTGACCTCTGCTGTGACAGTGTGGCACTCTAGCTGCACAGAGGCTGACAGGAAGTGTCTGCAGAGGGTGACCAACACTGCACAAGACATTATTGGCTGCCTTCTGCCTTCCTTAAGAACATTATACAACTCTCACTGTCTCAGCAGAGCGAGGAAAATCATTAAGGACAATACACACCCTGGACTCCACCTGTTCAACCTGTTGCCTTCTGGCAGGAGCTTCAGGTCAATTCCAGCTTGGACCAACAGACTCAGGGACAGTTTCTTCCCCAAAGCTGTCACCATGTCACCACTTAATGAGAACTGTTGATTTGTTTTATTTATTATTAATTTATACACTTTGATGGAGCAGCTCTGAATTTCATTAAACTATTGTATAATGACAATAAAGACTTTCTATTCTATTCTATTCTATTCTATAAAGGGTAACATTGTCTGAGCCCAACATGCACAAGTAACATATCTGAGATTAGATTTTATTGCACATGACATCACAACATTTTATAGACCAATAATATTTAATACAGATGGGGGAAAGCTAATATGTTTATTGTTAAAATGTAGGTTTTTGTGGTATTTCCTATGATATTTCCCATGAGAATACCATATAATCAGTAGAAAATAAGAATTGCTCTTGCCCCCATCTGGTAGTTGAGGAGGAGGGCTGTTCTTACTCCTATTTTAATCCATTTAGTTTAATCTACAACATTACCAGAACATGCCTGTGTAATAATCTTAATCTCAAATCAAAACAAAAGATCAATACATGTTTGCATTTTGCTCAGGTAGTACAAAAGAACAAGCTGAAGTAAACCTAATATTTTCTCTAGTATTTAGTAAGTAATAGTAGTAGTAGTAGAAGTAATCAAGATCTCTCTGACTCAGCCGACACCAACCTCCTCACTCCCCTCATCAGAACAAAGCACTGGACCTTGGGGGACCGAGCCTTCACTGCCATCGCCCCCTTATCTCTGGAACTCACTCCCACAATCCCTCAGGAACTCGGACTCACTGCAGTACTTCAAATCACCACTTTGCCCCATGATTCACTTTGCTTTCTACAGTGTTGCTTCCTATTTGTTTGTGAAGAGTCTTTATGTCTCCAAAAAATGCTATATAAGTCTGAGGTATTATTATTATTATTATTATTATTATTATTATTATTATTATTATTATTATTTAGCTCATTATATTCTCACGTGCCTCTTAACCTTACGTCAGTATACACAGGGCGCCCGTCACAGCAGCTTTGCTTTGTAGCCTGCTGCTGATTTCTATGTGCTGCTGTGTATGGAGTTAATATGACCGTGTCCTAACATCTTACTGCTCTTCTCCAGTGAACCACAGCTCACCTCTGCCACAGATCTAATTACCCAGAAGCCCTATTTATAAACCTGTCTCTTCTCTCAACTCTTCTGTCCCACCCCCATGTGTCCTGTTTGTCTTCAGCCTGAAGACACCACCATCTACAGACACCATCTCTACTCCGTTATATTATTATGTCACACGTCAGTAAATACTGAATTGATATTTTGCAGATGATGTTATTAACAGTCCCTGTGGGTGTGATGCTAACTGTAAGCATGCTCTGTCTGAGACTTTGTTAGACTTTAATCTCATCTTTATTTTAATGTAATCTGACCTGAAAGACTGACTGACTGATTGACTGAGCTGACAGACAGGTGATGTTTTGATGATTTGTGATGTTAAATCAGTCCCTCTCATATAACATTACAGTTACAGTTACAGTTACATTACATTACAGTTACATTACAGTTACATTACAGTTACATTACAGTTACATTACAGTTACAGTTACATTACAGTTACATTACAGTTAGTCTCTCTCAGCGTTTTGTTGATAATCACACTCAACACTTAAACAGGACCATGAACACAGAATGTGTTGTTAAATTTCATTTTGTACTTTTTCTTAAGTTTTCAGATGATCTTAAATTTTATATGGTGTTATGCATGGTGTCTCCATGGTAACTGATGAACATTGCGCCAATACACATACATGTAGAAGACCCCCAGGGTGACGTCACTGCAAAATATCAATACCTCTGTTGTGGTGTGGTCCTCACTAGTGAAGTGTGAAGTGTGAAGTGAAAGTCTTGAAAAAAGTGTTCTGTAGACACGGACATGAGATAAGTACAAACAGCAGATAGTATGGAGTAATCTAGTGAGGAGAGAACCATTATAACATGGTTAAATTGTCATGAAAAGTGGATTTTGCATAATTTTGTTCTGTGTAACTTTTAAACCTGCTTGTCTCCATGGAGCTGTTATTGTTGCCTTGAATGTTTCACAGTATGGCATTAAACTTGTATATTTCAATGAATGGAAACAAGCCACGAATGCCACCGAGCCAAGTTACAGGTCAGATCTGTGGAGAGGTAGGCCCGCTCACAGTAACAACGTATGTTTTAATTGTATTCTGTACTTGAGTAGTAGTAAGACAGTTACATTTAATATCATCCAACATCCAACATCCAGTCAAAGCAGCATTTCCATGGAAACTATTAGTGGCAGGCACAGTGCATAGTTTTTTCTTCATGAAGTCTCTAGTCCTTTTCTATTACAGACACCTCTCCTGCTCACACATTACTGATGCGCACACTGAGCCGGCGGCCATGTTCCTCCCCCTTGTCCCTGTAACTCTGCTCCAGTCGGATCTTCTCGGTTTCGGTTCCCTCGGAAATCGTCCCGCCCCCGTTGCTCTGGAAACTGCCAGGCTTTTTGAAGATTGGCGTTGTTTTCGTTTTAGCCACTTTGTCGAAGAAGGCAAAATCGGCCACGTATTTGCCGTTGGGGCAGAGGGAGACCACGGGTGGAAACTCGTAGCCCCAGAGGATCTCATCAGGGAGGTAGGACGTACGGACCTGACAGGTTGCTGAGGTCGATTCCACTGTGGCGTTCATAATCACCAACAGCTCGAAGTCAGACAGCTCTGGGTCTGTCCAGCCGCCCCCTGCTGGACACAAGAGAGCGTGACAACAGCCACATTTAAAGGAGCTGCAGATGATTTTTACTGGGTAAAATAACTAAAAGAGTTCAATAGTGTTTGCAGTTGTCCAAAGTTATTCCAAGCATCCTAATTATTCACAGTGATGAGTTCATAAAAGCTAATGCTAACAACAACTAGCATTCAAACAGCACACTTCCTGAACGCTTTATAATTAGATGCTAACAGAACACACCAGATAACTGTAAAGGAGAAATTCAATTCTGTAAACTGGACAAAAGTTTTTTGATTGAATACATTTTGCAGCTCATCCAAGCTGTTTAAACGATGAGCTGCAAAACATATTTGATCAAAAAACTTTTGTCCAGTTGACAGAATTGAACTTTTCCTTTGCTATGGATCCTACCAGGACGACAAACACAACACAACAGACACAATATATCCACCCGAGGTTCATAGCGTGTCGTCTATATCACGTCGGAAGTGGAAGCCTAGAGCTGAGAGTCTTGCCCAAGGACACGACAGCATTCACCTGTGTGAGGTGGAATCACACCACCAACCTGTGGGTCTGCGGATCTGATGCTCATTTACATGGACAGTCTGCTGTAATAATAGATTTTCTTTGGGTGTTTTGTGGAGTGGGTAAGACTGTTTTTAGTAGCAGGATAACTATGACCATTGACATGCACTAGTCTAGCACCAGCGACCTCTGCAAATACAAGAACTGGATGGAATATTTAAAAAAGTGTCTCCACACGTCTCCAACACTCTGGCTCACTAGAAAATGAGGCCCTATATTCAAAATTCTGAACTGTCCCTTTAATAAAAGAAACAAGTGCTGATTCCTGTGTTAGAGTTGACGTCACCATAAACATCATCACAACAAAGAACCACTGAGCTGTCGCCACATCACACCAACAACATGAGGATTATTTTCATTTGTACCAAAATGATGCTGCCAAATCCTACATGTTACAGCGATAAA